TGGATAGCTGGCCAATCACAGCATACCTCGCTTTTTCAGACCGATGAGTTTTGTAAAAATCGACGCGTTTCAAAAAGGCGGGGCATAGAGGAGAAACAATAATGTACAGTATGTGGAAAATAATGTGTTTTTTAAACTTTAAACCACATAAACATTTCATTACACCAAATACACAAAATAATGTTCTTTTTAGCAGCATCATATGACCCCTTTAAATACTTGATAATTTCACCTTTTCATGGTGTGGTAATATAGGTTACAAAAACACACGTCATTCAGTGAAATGGCAAAAAACACTTTTAATGTTAGATTTTTTTAAAAACAAGTAGATGTTGTGAATAATTGTGATTAACTTTACTGGTCAAGTTCACTGTTTGAAATAGGTGGCCATTTGATTGCCTGAAATATCAGCTGATGTAGAAGTTTCATCATTCAGGGTAATGGTTTTTTCATTCAGTGTAATGCAAATTCTCTGTTACACCACAGTGTCATCCATTACACTGAATGACAGTATCACTGTATAAATAACAATTTTAACATCTTATTTACCGGTATATTACAGATAAATGAGGAATGTTTAGAATTGACAAATATGTGTGTGGCTGCAAGCAGGAATTTTTGAGGCAGAGCGTCAGAAACAAAGTGACAAGCTAAGCAAGCATGTCAGGGGAGCATCAGGAAAATGCTTATTATATTTCAACATCTGTTTCTGCAGTCATTTACTCAGGATTATTATTAAAACTAATTTAATGACACAGATTAATGCTAAAAACATTTCAGTTATGGGAACAATGGCAATGTTATCTCTCTTTTTGGCAAATCGTCATTCAGAGTAACAAACCATGGTCATTCAGTGTAACACATATATTTATGTAAAAACAAAACAATATACTTATTCTGACCTGTACTTATTAAAATACAAATAAGAATATATGATCATACTAAATTTTAATATATTTTAAATGATTTTCACTTCCTTACAAAAACTTCTTGCTGGCAAACTGGAAAACATAGTGGTTTGAAGGACATTAGCAAAGTATAAAGATTTAAAAATTAAAGTTAATTGGTATTTGAGGGCTGCACTGTGATGCTTAAATAGAGTCTTTTAATATGTCATCAAATGATTCATATTTTAAATATGCCTAACAAGATTTTTTGGTATATAAATATTGTTACACTGAATGACAAACATGGTAAAAAATGCATGATAATAATTTTGTTTTTGTTCAGAAAAATATAAACTTAAACAGGACACATTCTAATGTATGGGGGAAAACAAAACTTAAAGCTGTATTGCACTTTTTTTTTTTTATGCTTGAAACACCCTTTTCGTCTTTGACCCATATATAAAATTTGTGCATAAAGTATATTTGGTGTTTGGATGTTTAGTCCAAATGACGGTTCCTCTGACTAAAAATAAAACATGATTTCAAGTCATATATAAAAGGTTGAAAATATTTAGATAATTATTGCAATACAGTACTTACCCAACTGCTAAAATGCTCAAATTCAACAAAACTAACAATATGTACCATGTAAAGCCCCAGTGATGCTATATTCACGCAAGAAATAATTATAAGTCAGTAACTGATGCGTAGGTTTTGTTAAGGGGAAGGAAGCAAACCTTGACAGTGCAGTCCTCTGAGGCACTGGCAATAACATTGTCATCATGTGGACACCACTGCACATCCAGCACCGGAGCGGCATGACCGCACACGGTCGGGGTGTTCTGGTCCACTCGACCGCTCTAGTGTTAAGAGACACAGAAACTATGTGAGCAGAACCATTTGATTATGCAAACTAATGTAAAATACCAACTGTAAATCAGGGCATATTTAAGGCATTGTTATTGCGAGAGAACGCATGCCAACCTTGGCGAGCGGTAACACAAGAAAGGCTCCGCCTCCTCCGGCCTCAATGACAACAGCAATGAGCTTCGGATTGGCAGCGCACAGCGGACCGTCCCATGTCACGCGCGATACTCTGACATCATCGAGGCAATGCTCAGCCTTCCAAGCCTGGGCAAACACATGCCTGAACTTACTCTGCCTGACAACACCCCTCCTGAAGGACATGGCTGTTGAAGAATAGTGGCATATAACGTTAGTCATTATTAAATAAATCAATCATGGCATATTTTTACAGGAGTATAACATAAAGCAAATAAATTGTCAACAAATCATAAAATAACACAGACTTTAAGATTAAATTGACATGATTATTTGTATAGTAACAATAGGAGAGCAAAAACCCAGTTGCAATTTGGTGTGCAAATACATGCAAGAAAAAAGACCAATCACAATTCAGTATGCAAATACTGCAATGACATCAATAAGTCAATGGGAAATTTTCAAACTTCAATCATGTCTTTGTTATACTCACATTTATTTTGAAATGTTCTGTGCAGCTATTAAAAAACACCATAATTATTGTCCAACAAACAAGATGCAGTTCACTGTATCATGTTCATTTTGTGACCCAGCAGTGGGGCATGTTGTCACAAGCTTTAAAGGCTATTATTGGCTTTTTAAATAGTAAAATATTAGTAACAGCAAAAAAAATGCAAAAGATACTGTATAGAAAAATCAACCACTGTTTGAAGTTAAAAAGTCATTAATATATATATATATATATATATATAAATATGTATAAACATTTATAATGTTACAAATATTTCTATTTCAAATAAATGCTGTTTTTTTTTTCAAAAACATGAAAAAATTATTATTATTATTATTCCAATTAATTATATAAACCCTGGTTTATTTTTGGCCATAATCTCAAAATTGCTGCCAATAATATGTTCTATCACATAAAATGTGATATTATCTACTTTTCAGTTCTATTGACCATTAGGCTATTAGGTCAGAAAGGCTTAAGTATTGAAGTAAAAGTGAGAGCCCCTCTTGTCCAGTGAAACTCTAGAAGGCTGCAGCTCTCACGTGTCTGTGACTGTGCAGGGATGAACATGACACAGCTCAAGTCAGAAACCACAAACCATCAGCATTTAAGGTCTGATGTTCGGTCACCTTCCATTACACATGTATATTCTAAAGAGATCTAATGAGATCTATTGACTATATATTTGGACAAATCAACCCTCCCTGAAAACCTTTCGTATTTAATGTGATAAAACTAGAATCAATAAAGCCATGTTAAAACAGTAAAACGAACTGTAAACATCCCACTATAAATAGCTTACAACTTTGTTAATCCTAAAGCTGTGACATGTGAACTGTGGTCTAAAGGTGCTTTCCAGGAGCCAGTTTTCATGGGATATTTCCATCAACTGCAAATTCTGCTATTTTCTTTATTGTGTCTGTTATATGGGTCAGTGAGTTATATGTTATTCAAAAATACACCAAGAAAGGCTATTCATACTAGAATGAAAACACATTTCTATGATGATTTTAATTTCCGAATAGAGTGTTCATGGTGTAATTTATAAAAAGAGAGAAAAGAATTAAAGTCTCATTTTCAATTAAAGTTTCATTCTCAGTCTCCTTTGTTCAAATAAATAAGCAATTGTTTTAAAATATCATTATTATTTGGGGGACAAATTGTTTGGTAACCAATATGCAGGAATCCAATTTGATGTCAAAGTGGTCACACTTTCATTAAAGTCATTGAATGTAAATAACTGTATAAAATTGTACGAACTTTTACACATGTACACTCTTTTTTATACTTATATATATATATGTGTGTGTGTGTGTGTGTGTGTGTGTGTGTGTATATATATATATATATA